TAGAAAACAATTATTGATACAGTTGGTTGGTTTAAGATTGTTAGCTGTACACTAGTTCCATAACTGCTTGTGACTGATTGAGAGGTATTCAGTTCAGTGTTCTACTATGATATTAATGGGTCAAAAACTATTTTATACTAACATTTTTATCTGCCTTCTAATTTTGCAAAGACTCGCTTTCTTGGATACGCCACTGGTCCAGGACTCTTGTAAGACCTCTGTAAATAAACTAGTCACATTATTGCGATATTAATTATGATTAAATTCTATTAAACGATATCACTAAAATTAAATAACATTGAACCGAATTTATCTACACAGGCTCAGTCTACTGCTACAGTGCTACAACACTTTAGAATACCCGGTTCAGTCTGGCCTCGTCTATTTGTCTTTTTCGTGTTTATTTGTATAGAGCGTTCTATGTTTTATTTTCTAATTTAACTCGCGTACATCATTCAACTGTATGCTACAACATCGCACTGTGGTATTTAATTATACTATCTATTATTTATTTATATATAAATTTTATTTTTGACCTCCGAGAATTAATGGCACACTTTATTTTCAGTAAGCCGAGCTATATTTGAATACTTAATTAAGAATAATTTCATATAAATGCAACGATTTATTGATATTTATCATTAAAAAAATTACTTACACACTACACTCAATTGAGCAACATATCAGCAGTTGTGTAGATTACAAGTGGTGAGAGGAATGACATTTATATAATTGCTTTGTATTTTTCAATACCTAACCTTTTCTTTTTATTGTTATTATGATTTACAAGGAAATTTAAAATTTGATTCACTGGAAAAAATATTTATATTGAAATCTTTATCGAACAAATAGATTGTACAGCGAATAAGACAGCTGTACTTTTTGCAGCATCAAAAATAATTATTTAATTGCGCTGTAATTTAATGGAGGTCCACGATCTATTCAGGAATAATGTGAATAATACTATTTTAAATTAATTATTTCTACGATTGTAAATATCATTTTGGATTATAGGTAGGTATGTAAGTTTTGAATAGAAAGACTAATTATTTTTCTGTTTTAACTCCGAGCACGGATATAATTTAGTTTTATCTTGTATTTAAATTTTATTGAAGTAGGTATTAATGATAAATGAATAATTGGTAACTATAATACCTATTATTATTTGTATATTATATTTTATAGCACAAAATAATTGTTTGTGAAGCTAAAACAGTGTTGTCATTAGTGACATTATGGGTACCTATAATGTTACTGTCGTACAAATATAATGCTCGTAGGTGAGAAATTAGACACGTGGAACTTTAGAATTGGTATTTTTTGGATTTTGCCAAATTTTTCAGGAAAATTGGCAAAGCTACGTGCAAAAGTACTAAAAAAAAAAACAAGAACTGTTACCTGTAAACGTTCATAGGTGTGCCATTTTTAAAAGTTATTTGAAAAATTGTGCCAATGTTTTCATATATACATCTGAAATTATTTCACACCACAATTTTAAAATTAAAAATCTAAAAATACGTATGATATGTATTGTATTAGTTTTGTAGCTAAATTTAAAATAGTGATAACGTTTAAGTGTTCAACATAAAAATTTCACAGAAAGGATATGAGTGACATGATAGCAAAAGCATATACTGTTATTGTTGGATCAAATTATCGGTTAATGTATGATCAGTATGATACAATTGCAGATTTGTAGTTACTACTTTGTCACTTAAATTTTTACTAATTTTACTCATTTGTATTAATTTAATACATATTTACTAATTATACAAAACTTTGAGGACTTGTTAGTTGCTATAAAATATGTTCAATATACATAAACGTTAGATCAGTGAAAAACATTACGACTTATTGAGGAACTGTATTATATTTGTTAATAAGCCTAAAAAAAATGTCTTCCTAGTTTTTGTAAAATTGAGGTAATCCGCGACCTTTAAAATATTGTTGAAGTGGTCCGTGGAAGTAAAAAGGTTGGGAAACACTGCGTCAGATAAACGATTTGGGAGAACATTGCAAATTGCGCCCATCAAAACATTTTGACTATTTTGAGGTATCCGTTTCTGTGTAATACATTTTACCCAGAAGTTTTTCGAAGTAATATTATTTCTACTCTAACTTGTATTCACCATTGTTCATGGGACACCAAGAGTAGATTATTTCATTTTTTAGTTAAATAATTTATAAGGTATTATATAAGACTATTTTGAAACATTTTTATAAGGTAAGTAACCTTTGGACTATTTGGAGTACATAGTAATTATATATTAAGTATTTTTTGCACTAGTAATGGGACATCATTTTCACATATTAATATTCCACGGAGTTGCACGAATATTACTTAAAATCATTGATATCGATAATATTATTATAATTTTACTGAATACAATGATTGTAGCATTAAGCGTTTGACTTTTATACCAATAAATGTGTAATGGTGTCCAAAATAGATTAATTCAAAAGGTCACTAAGATACTATAATGGGTTCAAATTACTATAGGTACCAATTTTAGAAATCAAAAAGTGCCGGGTGCAATTTATTATACTTATATTAGGTTGTTTACATATACCTACATAGGTCCTGTACCTATAGGTTTATTATTGGTAAACTATTCGAATTGAAGAATTTCGGTGTCACCTCCTAACCACACTATATTTTTAAGTACAATAAGTAAAAAATATTTATTATTCCCCCCCCCCCCCGCAAAAAAATTAAATAAAATTACTCCATGTTACACTACTGATTTGGAACGATTTCAGAACCACAAGTAAATACATGTTTCCAGTAACGACTAACGAGACACATCCGTGAGAACAAACGAAATATAATACCTATGTACTGTACATAGAAATTCGTCCAGTACAGCAATTTCACTTTTAAAATACGAACATTCCAGTACACCCCACCCCCAATCAATAAACATGTACCTGTCATCAGAAATTCGTAAATCCAAAACAAAAACGTAATCCTGAAGGTACATCCCAGGATGCCTATTGCTATAAAACTACTTTTTTTTTGCACAATAAACGATTGTGACCGGAGGAGAAGCAGTGCCAACACCAGTTCCTCCTCTGGTTCTCGATAACAAGGAAAAAAAGGTACCTTAGTATAGTATAAGTTATTCGTAGTAGGTACACGTCTTATTTGCCAGCGCAAATAACTGAAAAAGAACGTCTTTCGTATTGACACGTATCACATAATATGCGATATTGTCATTATTAGTAATTTTTATTTTTATGTAATTTTAATGTCAACGGACAGTGTAGTACTGTAGTGGGTCTGTACAATAACACCCTATTTTGTAACACAATTTGCGCGTTATTTTCACATCAAAGTCAATATCAAAAACGTCGTCATCGTTCGTGGTATATTCGAATACGATGCGATCGTTATTGCGAGTTATTTAAAATCGTATTCATTATTATTATTACGTCTTTGCATCGGATCTAGTCGGATCATTTGCCCGGCGAAGCGTAGTAAATGTCAACGCGCAATGAAATTTAATTCCCCCGTCAAATAATATACCTAGGTGTATACATCTAGTAATATTAATATAATAATATATACCACCGCCGCATACTGATATTAATAATGAAAAATGAATAAAAAAACTTCACACACATTTTGCTTACCGAGGTGCTATAATATGCTGCTGCGCAAAAACACACTGATAATATATACAAGTACGTAAAAGTTTTGAGATTTCCATCGGTGGCGGCTACGACTGATATGCTGACGGACCGTTATGGGTTCCTTGACCCAACGAAATAATATCAAACAAATCTCGTTGCACACATATTTAATATTATATATACGTATGTACAATAGTGTTGAAGTGTAGTTCAATGTCAGTGCACGGTATATTATGCATTCGTATCGTGTGAGAAATGTGTATGGCATGCGTTGACACGTCGAAATCGAAATTGCTGTAACGTAGTTTCGAGAAAAACCTATCGATGTGTAATATTATAATATAATATACTAAGTATCATAAAATTGTATTTGGTCGGTGGTGTCGTCGACGGAGATAGCAACGGCGAAAAGGTCGGGTATAGGCCGGGTGTCGCCGAAGTGCAGGCTAGCTATACGACGCAGAAAATGTGTGTTAGCATATTCATCATTTTGTGTAATACTACCGTCAATAATACTATAATAGTGAACTGCACTATGTATATCGCAGATCATATAAAACCACGTGGTGCACTTCTGCATTTACCGACAACTCGAACCTATCCCAATGCAGTGGGGTCACATATTATGAGACTTTATCATAATGGCAGGTAAATGCAATTGTTGGTGAACAAAATATTAGGACTTTCGTTGGATTTTAAAATAAAAGACTCCATGAAATTTGTATAGATATCTGTGAATTGAACTAAATATTATTCTATTATTGCACATCGAGAGCCTTTGATGAACCACACTATTCCAAATTTCATGTTCGTACGTTTTGTAAATTTTGATACGTAGCTATGAATGAGTGAATGAGTGAGTGGTGGTATTTGGATTTTATATGGATGGGTAGGTAATGGCTAAGCGGTCAGATAACGTCCACAATTCCATATCGAATCAACCATAAGAAAGTACTACTCTTCACGAAACTCATTCATGCGTTGTTGTTCTTAAGTTCTTTGACCGTCAAACTGACGATGTGTTCCCCCGGATGATCTGTTCATGGCGAAGAATGGAGGATTTAAGATTTTCTGGTCCGACGAACCGAGCGAATGCTTCCGTAGGCATAATATCTTCACTCAACCCCCTAGAAACAATTATTTATTTATTAATTTTTATCTGTATGTCTATAGATTGATCCATAAAGCTGTTATTAAACCAATAACCGAACTCTGATTAAGTTAAAACACTAAATTTATGTAACTTATATCAGGTATATTGGTACAAATATCTTTACGGTGTATAGGTATATATTATAAAGATAGACGCAATTACGTAACACTGTAATCCTAAGGTACGCATTATTGTGCGTAGGTACCTGCCACCTGGTACACACAATAATTTGTTACTAATCTTGAGCATATAATTAAAACTATACTTATAAAGTTATAACAGTTATAACCATTCAGTGTTCTTAAACCAACCGTTCGAGAGTATATAAGTTTACAAATTAACCAAACAATAAATCAACAAAATACCATATTATATTATAATCATGTACTATAAACTTATTAATATAATATCATATATCACCTGTTGTATTTGCTCACTTAAAATATCTTCTATAACACCGGAATATCAATATATAGACACGCCGAGTACACGAGTAACAATTATGTAAGTCATGATAAAAATAATAATAGTAACAATAATAATAATGATAATAGTTTTAGAGATCGAAATTATTGTGTATGCATTTTCATATTCATACTGATAGTGTGATACTAGTGTATGCATAACTAATAACAATTATTATTAGAACTTATTTTATTCTATGCTATTAACAACTAGGGTTCGAAATGTAGGTGTTTCAGATCAAACTGATTTCATAGACGATATTTTATTTTGCATATTGATGCATATTTATTGGGCAAAGGCATGTGTTGTTATTAAAGCATATAATTTGCATATTTTAAACACTTTTAGTGAACAAATAACTATTTACTCTTTCCTTGGCCACCTTAAAAATAAAAACGAGAGTTAAAATGTTGATCAACAATTAATTTTAAATAACCACGAAAATCTTTTTCATAATCGAAATGTATATTTTTTTGTTTATATACATAGAATTTTATTTGCGACACTGTATTTATAACAGCTAAGGAGCATTCACAACTACGTATCGTGTGTCATGTCGTGCTGATCAAATCGTATTGTGATTTGTGATTGGACCTTAATTTTTTGGTATCGTGTAATAATCAAGTTGCGACAGAGTATCGGTACTAAGAATTGACCACAACTCAACTTATAAACCATATTGATTACCAGTTATAACCATATAGTTACCAAGCCATCGTTGCACGACAAGACACTAGTAAACGACTTAGCTGTAAATCCGGCTTCAAAGAATCGAAAAGAAATAATAACATGGTTACTAACACGGTTTTTGATGGATTATTGTTTAAACCCACTGACTAATTATAATACAATAAATACATGATTAAAGTATATACAATTGTTTGATTAAAATTGTAAACATTTTCTAATGAATAAAAATGTGATTTGCACACTTAAAAGTTGTATTTATTGTATTACAGACATAATTTGACAATATAGTGTATTGTGTATATATCTATCCTATACTAATTACCATGTAGGTTAGATTCAAAAAAAAAGTTAATTTATACATTTTTTTTTTAGTACAAATTTTGAATACATAATATTTTACTGTATATTTTGAATTTTTTTTTTGTACATAAATTGGGGCATATTTTGGCATTTTGATCATGCATATTTGCATCGTATTTAACACTTTTTTATGATGAGTTTAATTTTGGTCGCTAATAATAATAACTGTTTTACTCCTAGATTTCATTAGGTACCTAATATTTAGACGTCATAATAAACTATAGTCTAAAATAGAAGTTCGTATTAATTTATTTCTCTTTAATTTTTAACCTAAGGGCTAAGACTAAAGTCCTGTACGTGGTACAATGGTTTTTTGCCTGCAAAGTTCACCGAATGTACTTAATTTCACAATATCAAGCCGTATAGTCAGTTATATGATGTATAGGCAGTAGTATAGAAGTAAAATATAGAAACGAATTTTTAAAACTAACACAATTTATGGAAATATTAGCTCGTTTCACGTATATTGCAGCTTCCAGGATGCGTATTGTCACGTCTAAAAGTATTGTCTATCGATAGCATTTCAAGAGATATAACTAGAATAAGATTCACACGAAATGTCCACCACTTTCAAAATCCAACAAAACGAGTTTAATATTTTTTGATCGATAAAAACTAAGCTAACATGTAGAAGTTGTACTTTTAGAGTAATCCGTAAATGACGTATTACGCCAACTTAATAAAAGCTTTGACGGCGAAAATGAAGTCCAACTAATTGTAGATCAAACACAATGTCCAAAAAGTTACAGACAAAGTCGTGGGATAATATGTGTCTGTTATGTTTGCGCTGCTAACTTTATGAGAGTAAATATCCCGCAAAATTTGAGACGGTCTGCGATTTGTGAATATGGACCAAACGGCGAGACTGTAAGAGTCTATACATTAAGTAAACAATTTCTACTGATGAATTTTAAGAGTTTATGTTTAAGTAGTACAGCCATATTCAATCCCGTGAGTCTGTGATGGAGAACTTAAATCTCAGCAAGTCGATTACAAGTACGATAGTCTTTTTATTCTTCAAACACGTCCAAAACTTTCATGTTTTCAAAAAAAAAACAACAATTCAATTTATCAAACAAGCAATATTATCATATTTTAATTGAACCAATATTGAATCCGAACATGGGCCTATCCAAACATTACACTTTTTATGTTTTGTTTGAAACAAAAATTAAATCATACAACAGAATTGAAATCAAACTGTATAACAATATATATATTATATAGATTATAGATTTATAGGTACCTACTTATTAATTATTATTTAATGCGCACAATAATATTAATCATTCATTGTTTAAGCAACTCAAACGATTACATGTAATTATATAATGTTATGTTATGCTTATCAGCTTATCATGACAAATCTTTAAAATTATAAATTACAGTATTCAGCGATGGCAAACGGAAACATTGTTTATAATAACTTGAATAGAATAGTGTTGTCCTTACACTATGTTAATTCGAAAGTCGAATTCGATAACACGAATGCTTATTTTGACGAAAAACATATCAAAGGCTTCGAGATAATTTTAAAATTTGATAATCCATGTTTAAAAACATGACAAGCTCTTCGAAAAAAAATACATTTCTCTTGAAACCGTGGGTCGGTAGTTTTTATTCCGTCCTGTTTAAAGCGTGTTCCATACTATTTTTTTTATAATTTATAATTTATTTATTTAATTTTGTAACATAACCTTTTGAGCGACCCTTTGTTGCAAATACCTAATAATATCGTTTGAACTAAACCGTGCTATTTTAATAATGACATAAAACATATAATACTGCTGTCACAGTTATTAATGCAATTTTAATTTTAATGTAGTACCTATACATGCAGCTATAACAAACTGGCGAAACCGAGCGAATTTCAATCAAATATTGTATAATAATAGATTAAACTCTGTTAACTTAAAGTGTTTCGTTTTGATACGTTCAAAACACTTATTTGCAGTAAATATTATATAGTGTGAACATATAATACAAACACTTACATATTATACAGTGCAATATTATTGTATTTACACACCCATATCATGTTTGATGTTTAAAATGTTCAGATAATATTCTGTACGATTGCTTGTACCTATGTGCTTAGGACTGCAATAAATTAATAAATAACACATTATAGGTATTTAATAATAATATTATATAATGTTTAGTTTAAAGTGGCAAGATAAATAAAATGTATTATTTTTACATAAACTATTTTTTTTTTTTAACTTTTTGATTCAATTTGAGTTTCACGGATGATAAAAAATATTAGATAGACATAATATATTGAGGCTGCGAAAGTAGATATAATATGCAATAAAAAAGTATTCTAACATAATACTAAATTAATAAAGGTTGAGGTTTTTGTAAATATAAATCATTAAGGATTTTCTATAACACTCGAGACTTACCTCGATAAATAATATAAAAACATTCTAGTAAACATCATAACTTGTTTCATATTTTTTATCTCATAAATTATTAGTTTATTTGATTATTTTCTTTTATCGTTTATGTCATGTCAATTTTTTTTTTAAACCGCTCAAGTATCAATGAAAAAACAAACTTGTATTGCTTATGTTTTCTTTCCAACATTCAAACATAAAAATATAATATTTATGTGTAAATATAATAAATACTTCTCATTCCAACACAGCGTTACAACATTTTGGATTGGTAAATAGAATTATTTTTCTTAAGTTATACAATTATTAGCTATACTATATTCCTTCTAAATAAATTATGGTGCGTTGTAAAGTCATATTATATTATGTTAGTTACGTATTCATTTTAAAAATAATAACTGTTAATATTTATCATATTGATTGTAATAACTGTAATCGTTTGATATTTGATTTTAAACTAATTTTAGGTGAATGAAGTTTTAAACATTTTGAAAGAATGTGATCCATGGGTACATCCACGATTGTTCAAGAATGAAATTAAAAACGTCCTTTTTACACTATAACGATAAAATATATATATATATATATATATTGGAAAATTAACATTTAATTAACTACGTCGTTGCTATGACCAAATATGGAGATTTATGTTTTTTAACGACTATGTGTAATTCGAATAAACTGATTACTTTATTATTAAAAAATATTATAAGTGGATAAACAAGTAAGGTCTGATGTAAGTATTTGGTAAACGTTGCGATTAATTCTTAAGCAAAGTTAAATACACTAAAATACCTATAATTGTGATTATAAAACATTTAAAACATGTTATTATAATTATTACAGTACAGCAGACGATTTATATTCTTATGACACGACTTAATTCTATTAAAAAAAAAATTAGTCTCACCGATTATTTTTCAACTAGTAAATGGAGCCGACGGATTGAAAATTTGAAATTGTTGGGTTCCCAGACTCGTCGATTTGAAATTTATCATATTCCAGTGATAACCTATACGATATTTACCTTCTATAACTATAAAGGTTAGGTAAGTGCAGTTTTATCAATACAAGTGGATATCAATATGACAATATGACAATATGATAACAGATATGTGTTGTAAACACTATCTAGAAATATTTTGGTAATTTTCTTTTAGAATTAATAAATGCTGGTTATTTTTGTTTGCTATGATAATAACATAAAGTTTCTTATTTGGTTTGTATATAATAATTATTGTAATATTAAAACACGACTGACCCGGTAACGAAACAAAAATAAACAATCAAATTCCATATTATAATGTCAGTTAATACTTAAATCACAAAATTATGTTTTTCGACAGAACAACCGCGCTCACACTTGCCCTGTTTTTTACGACTGCAGTGGCATTTGTGGGATGGTACCGGTGGAGGAATCGCAAAATTAGACGAGAGATACTACAGTCTTGCAAAGATTGCAAAAACAATAACGATGTGAGTGATTAAATAATGAAATAATATTATCTTCTGATAACGGTGATGATGGTGATGTAAAATAATAACAATAATATAACAACTATCACGGAATCAGCAAAATAATTGATCGTTAAATGTATATAATATAGGGCAAAGGATTCGATGATCAAGTGACCAAAGATAACTTGTCGGTGATTCTAAAAGGCAATCGGTTTGTATTGTTTTTTATCAATGGGTTGATTCTCCTTGGATACTTCCTCAGAATGTTACCGAACGGATTCACTTCCCATCTAATCCTTTTCCTAATACTAGTATACACCTTTCACATGCTAATGTCAAAGTGTTATGCGATTAACGTAGTTTGGTGTCATGGAATCATGTCCATAAACGGTTAGTGCGTTTATTAAAACGTTTATAATATGGTAATAATATGTATTGAATTTTTAAAAGTTCATAAGTACCTCTTTATTATTATTGTAATATGACATATTGAAAATATTTTTACTATAATATACCTATTACAATATTACAAATAAAATATCTGTTACAGCTGACATTGATATAACGTTATTTCCAAAATTAAGAATTTTAAAAATATTTCACATCAGCGCCAGCGGTGAAACAACGACACAGCAATAAAATAGTATATGCTTATGAAAATTATATAAGCCTGAAAAAACAAATTGAGAAAAATATCAAAATTTCCGATGAATTTGAAGTTAAAATTGTATACGAGTAAGGTCAATATTATACTATGTAAGTGATGGTTAAGTATTGAGATTTGGCAGAAAAAAATTTTACTAACAAAAAATTAACACACAATTGTGGAAAAATGTTTTAACCAGTTTACCACCCCCCAAAATGAATCTAAAATTAATTATATTCATTTGATTTTATAATGTCTGTTTATGTTTTTCATAGTTATTATGAGCAAACTTCGTTAGGTTGGTTAATTTAAACTTAAAAATAATATTTCAAGACAAACAATTCTTGTTGAAAATAACAATTATCTAGTTCAATATTTTAATTCACTGTTTTAGATTTAAAGATCAAACTTTAAATAGTTTTGGATTTTGTATGTATACTTTTTTAAAATTAATTTTAGATGTTAACCGGAGTGATGAAGTAATGATTTTATAATGAAATGTGTCTCTTTTTAAATTTTTACTCATTATATTATTAATTGCACTGTTTTGGGTAAAAATTAAATCAACCTGCCGCGGTAGTAATAATAATAGTTAAAATAATGACTGTTATAGCAATATCAAAAAAGGTATCATGCAAATAAATATACTCAGTAATGTAGGCTGAGAATTGTTTTTCGTATGAGATGATTTCGCCAATATATTCAAATTTAACACATACATCACAAGGTGTTACTCAAACACGAGGAACCTCGACACCTGCTGTGCGATTACCTTCTTGCCCCCTTTTTAAAATGGCATTTTCATTTTATATTTTTGGTAATTTAACTTTCGAAAACTGTATTCATTAGTAGACGGTCATAATTATTATTAAGTTCTATTATTTGTAAATTTTTTATACAATCAATCCATTGGTTATTGGTAGAAATGTTTGATTTCACTGAAAATCACAATAGTAGTTTACCTAAGTAAATTATTTTGTATTTGCTAGAAGAAGAGTTTATATAAGAATTGATATTTCAATGTATTTTCAAAATCGAGTATCATTTTTACAAAAACCTTTGATCCGCTCAAAATCGGTCATTGTCATAGATCAATCATCGATTTATAAAAATAATTAATAATCGTTGTATTGAACATTGCACATTGTATCGAAGTGGACGAAGCCATATAGTGACCAACAGGTAATTTCAGTCCATATTATATTTTTCAACAATTTTTGTACAAAGTCAGCAATTTGAATTATCATTATAATGATGCTTCTTAATACCCTTCTTCTATGTACATTTTTTCTTCTAACAATATTGTATCATGGCCTCCAGATATTATATTCTATGTCGTTTGAAAATTATTAATAAAAAATCACACAAACAATTATTGTAGAATAATACAAGTTAGATAAGTTTTATTTTATTGGAAATGTCAATTTTTTGCGGTTTCCTCAAATTAAAAATCTCTTAGAGTTGCCAAACGACCGTGATGGCTATATAATAATTGATAAAGAGATAATAATATGATAATCAATACCCAGCGGACATCTTAAAATACCGAAACGTTTTAAAACGTAATATACCTACCAACGTTATAATATTACTATCAATCTTGCAGTAATTAAAATAATATGTGTTCGAGGTGAATGTGTATAAGAAAAAAAAATCATTATCTGCCCGATAATGAGCGTTCATCAAATATCGGACGATTTACGTTATAATAATCATTCGTCGTGTATACATACAATTCATATTACATGGTTTAATAGTTATTATTTCGCAATACGGTACTGTCTTTAAATATGTTTATAACGGCTATCGTTCTCGGTATATCTTTGAACTATATAATACCGTACATTCGATAGAACTTTAGAGGAAGAATAATAAGATAATATCATGTGCGAAGTCCCGTGATAAATAATTGTATAGTATTATGATATTACGTATGTACGACTTACGACAAGAGCTGAATTCGCCCGAAACATCATTATATAAAAACAGTATCATAAAAATTGCACGTGGTTCGTGCCACGTGGTAATTGTGTAAACATATTCTTTATAATAGACCAGACCAACGAAATCTCGTCGAAATAATAACGATATGTGACGCTATAGGCCAACAAAAAATAGCCAACTTTCGAGGAATCTCGTCGTGCCTCGGTCTAAAGTATTTCACGCACGTCGTAGCACAACATAATTACTGCGTCGAAGCATCTAAAATGATGTATTTATTAATTATGTAATTATTTTTATCTAGTTTTTTTTTCTTAAATTATTTTTTTTTTTATTTTAGTGAAAGGTTAACAAATATTTTTACGGTTTTCGGTGTGCTGACGTCGAAGTCTTATTATTATCAGCGACAAGCAGTGATGTGGTGAACGCGGTCTTATGACGCCTTTTCGTCATGGTTCAATCTTTTTTTTTGGGTTGGATACATTATATTATAGTAACCAGTAATCTAAAACAAAAATTGAAATATTTACAGTTTCATAATAATTATATTATATAAAGGGGATAAAGAGTGGGTAAGTACCTGCTGAAATATATGATGTGCGCCAGGGTTTTTAAATGTTCACCACGCCACTGGCGACAAGCGAATTAACGTCGTGGTACCACTACGCTTTAAGTATAATCACAGATTAATAGATTTATATAATCTGTGGCATAATAACATATTATGTACATCATAAACGAAAAATGTTAATGAAAATTGAATTTTAGAAGACTTACAACGACTTGCAGGCTTGTCATTATATAACTATTGTTACTATCCTCGTAATCTGAAGGATGTTGGTGCAGGAGTGTAAAACTGTATGGATTAAAATATTACAGTGATATAACATATAGACAACGACGATTTGTGGATTCAAATTCGATAAATAGAAAATCAAAATAACGACATTCGGTAGTGGACAAACTTTATTATGAAATCAAAAAAAAGTGATTTTTGAATAAATATACAGCACAACTATACAGTAATTTTATAAATAGGCACATACGCAATAAAATGACTATGATGAGGTTTCCTCACGAACCTCATCACTGGCTGCCGAATAGACATAAAAAAATTAACCGCATGTTACCGTGTCCTTAAATAAAAGTAAACTCAATCAAAAGATTGTAAAATTCTTCCCTCGTTATATCAATGAAATGTGAGTATTCATAATTGTTCAATTGCAAAAAAACAAATTTCAATTAGTATAGGTAAACGTCACACATGTGGTTCCATCAGCTCCATAGATTACTTGAAAATATTCAAATTACAAAATATATTAACTAATATCAAATATATCTCTTACATCAGATATATTTTTTTAAATGTATAGATCAACTATTATATTCATAGGATGTATTTTTCTTTATTTAATCATTTTTGTTTTTACTACACAATGTATGTACCCTTGTTATTATAATTTGTAATAATCAGATCGTAATGTAATAATGACGTAATACAAAGGGTTTCTAAAATAAATGTTAAGTTTTAACATGATATAGTACCAATCTAGTAATTGTATTTAATACTTTTTTTTAAACCTGACTTGTTGTATAAAAAAACCTAAGAAAAATGACAGACGGCCACAACCCTACCTGTATAATGTTATAAAACCTTCAATAAATCACAAATTTAATTCGCTCTATCGTGTTTGGCTCCTCCTCCTCCTCCACCTCCGACACTCTTCGCCCACCCCTCTTAGCCGAAAAATGAAATGCCGTCCAAATTAAAATGATCCAAAAGCTGGTCGATGAACAAACATAAAATCGTATATATACATGTTAAGTTTAACAACAACGCGTACATAGTTCGACAGACTCGAAAGGTGATATGACAGTAACATTAACGCGATATCTCGAGTCAGTGTTGCGTAACCTTTTTTTTGGCTGTACACGCACGCACACGCAAAAGCTCCGTCCAACAGTACAGTACAGTACGCGACCTGTGGCGGCGGCCTTTTGATAAAAAATATTTAATAATATTTTTATTATGATTACTATCGATTCGGCTTTCCGGTGACTTGTATAGACAATCCAATACGCTCGCTGTTGCAGAGGTCGCGAGGATAAGGCTAGCGTGCTGTGTATTTTTTTTATTAAAAAGTATAGGTATATTATCATTATGAGCCCGTGATTTTAGTTTCATCTACTGAGCACCTGTAGTGCGTTGTATTTGTTTACTTCTCGAACCGGAAGGGCAAAAGTACAGTCTTATAATGTATTATTAATAATTACTTTCAGTTAAAGTTAAGAATTGTAACTGTTGTATTAAAAAGTATGCGCAGTTCTTATAGCACCACACAAGTTGTGCGATATTATTAACGGTATGTTTTAGACGAGGCCTTGCACCAGAATTAACCCAAACCAACACCCTTAAAACCCATTAAAAAATCCGAAACCCGGAGGATTGTTTTTTTCAAAGCATTAGAATTTATCAAAACCCGTATACGGTTAACCCAAAATCCGAGTAATTTTTTACTCTGTACATCTCATGTGAGTATTAGGACTATTTTGTAAAAAGTTTTTTATTAAAAATAAATTAAATAGGTATTAATTTTTAAAACACATTGACTTAAATATTTTGGCATAGGTTATGTTTACGTTATTACGTCAAACTGTGTTATATTTTGATCGCTCTTTTAATATATTTTTTAGATTGTTTCTGAAATACTATATCGACACAATCCATGTTAGCTCAAATAATAACGGCAATCGATAATAGGTACATTAGCCAACTGTTTATCATATTTTATTGAACCACTCTCTCAGTTTCAAATATTATTCTACTCAGGACTAGTCAGCCGTCGAATCCTAGGACCCGTGAGATTAGGGGATTATACTAGAGGTTTGACAATTATATTTTTGATACGAAAAAAGTTTAGTGTCCTTGAAATAGAACAACAATTAATGATGGTAGTTACTCGGTTGTAGGAGGTTGCTCAAGGTTTTCGTCGGGCATCCAAATAACCTACTCAAGCGTGTATACAATAATAACACCCTGCTGAATAAGACTCCAAATAACAAGTTACAACCATTTCTCGCATACAGAGTAATCCTATAATAAGACATATATATTATATAATATTAAAATATATTGAACACCACGAATCCACCCGACACGCCAAATCTGGTGAGCTGGTTTTGGTGTTTATTATGTATTATGTATAATAAAACTCGTCCCATATTTCCTCACTTAATGCGTAGTATAATAAGCTCAATATTATTTAGCTTTTATGAGCTTGCGAATTTTTTTTTTTTTTAAATATTTCCACCGACGCAAGACATAATGCCCATACTACAATACGATA